AGGAGTCGGAACAGATTTGGGGGTATGGTGCAGGTGCTGGGGCTGGCAGATGCTCTCGGGTGGTTGTACGAGATCCCTGCTAGTCCTCCTGTCCACTGAGCACCGGCCCAGTGTGGGGACTCTTAAGACTGAGATAGCCTCGGCATGGGGTAGGCATGATCCCTGAGTGGGACCCCCTTAAGCCTTGGGGGTCAGCCAAAGGGCAATTGGAAGAACAGAGTCTGCCGTGAGAACCATGGAGGGGCAAAGGCTGTTTTGCAGAGGGATGCTGGGCCAGAATGGAGGTCTCTGAGGATGGATGATGCTCCAGGAAGGCCACGGGCCTTAAGTGGAACTGTAGCTAGACCCTCTTCCCAGGGCTGGGAGCGGTGGGGCAGGCCGGAGCAGGCCAGCACGGGCCTGATGTTGTTCTGCTTCTCTCTTGTGTAGGTAGGGAACCTTGGTCTTCTTTTCATGCTCCTGTTTTTTATCTATGCTGCCCTGGGAGTGGAGCTGTTTGGGAGGCTAGGTGAGTGTGGCCACTCTGGGCCTCCCCCAGAAGGGAAATGCCCAACCCCAGGAACATGGCTCTTGTGTCTGTCCTACTCCACGTCCCCGCAGGTTGATGGAGATTTCAGGGGACTAGACCAGGTAGACAAGCCTTAGTGTGTTCTCAGACTGCCTGTTCATATTCACGTCACCAGCCCAATGCTCAGAGCAGGCACACATACTCACACCTGTGTACACAGACCTGTCCACTCAGGGACACGTTCCCACATCTGTGATGCACATGTCCACACTCAAGCCAGCCAGCCAGCCAGGGCCACATCCCAGGGTGAATGTGTCCCTTGGAAAACATGCACACACTAGCACAACCCGTGCCTCACCCTGAACGTTGTCCCAGGAGATGCCAGCAAATAACTATGAGGATCTTCTGGGGCCTTCATGTGCCCTAGATGGGCAGAGGACATACAGGTTACCACAGCCTGTTGTTTGCCTGCATAGACAGCTGAGTCCAGGCATGGCCCCCACCCAGTCATTACACACACTCATATCAAATACTTATGAGTCCTTTCTTCCCTGCCTCCAAGTCCCCCAAGACAGGTCTGGTATCCAAGCTTGGCAGCCAGGCCACCTTGTACCCCAGGGAACCCCATTGCTTGGTATCTACCATCCATGAATGGAGAGGCCAGGCCTAGGGCTTGAGGGTGCTTAGGAGCTCAGACAGTGCTGTCTGCTGAGGACAGGTCAATGTAGAACAAAGGCCTAGGCCCCAGGTTCCGAACACCTCAGTTAGAGCTCCAAGGCTGGGTGGGAGGAAGAACCCACACAGTACTTGGCCACCAGGACATCAGAGACCAGCAGCAGGAAGAGGCTTGGCAAGAGGACAGCCAGGAGGGGAGTCCAGGAAAGCCCTTGCGTTCCTGAGCCCCCTGCTTTCCGGGACATGATGGTGGATCCAGTTTACATAGGCAGTAACCCGAGCATAGACGCCAACATGCGAAGTGTGTGCTGACCTTGTCCTAGTCCCACGGAGGTGGGAGTGCTCTGAGTGGAGGGACCTCTTCCTTGCAGAATGCAGTGAGGATAATCCCTGTGAAGGCCTGAGCAGGCACGCGACCTTCACCAACTTTGGCATGGCCTTCCTCACGTTGTTCCGAGTGTCCACTGGGGACAACTGGAATGGGATCATGAAGGTAACTGTGAGGCTGCTCCTCCCCCATCCCTTCCCTCGCTCTGAAAGAGAGGGAAGACAGAGCCGTGATCCCGCTGCCCACCCCAGGATACTCTGCGTGAGTGTACCCGTGAAGACAAGCACTGCCTCAGCTACCTGCCGGCGCTCTCGCCCGTCTACTTCGTCACCTTCGTGCTGGTCGCCCAGTTCGTGCTGGTCAATGTGGTGGTGGCGGTGCTGATGAAGCACCTGGAGGAGAGCAACAAGGAGGCCCGTGAGGACGCAGAGATGGACGCCGAGATTGAGCTGGAGATGGCACAGGGGTCCACAGCCCAGCCTCTGTCTACAGCACAGGTAAGGCTTTGTAGGCACCTCAGGTTATCCCAGGGTTTCTGGGGGTGGGGGTGCTTCTGGGCTGATAAGCAGCCTCCCTCACCATAGGAAAGCCAAGGTACCCAGCCAGACACCCCGAACCTCCTGGTTGTGCGCAAAGTATCTGTGTCCAGGATGCTGTCGCTGCCCAATGACAGCTACATGTTCCGGCCGGTAGCTCCCGCGGCTGCCCCACATTCACACCCACTGCAGGAAGTGGAGATGGAGACCTACACAGGTAGCATCTCTTACAGTATGGACTCTGGTGGGGACAGCGAGGAAATGGAACTGGGCAGGGAGGATGGGCAGATAAGAAATTGGGCAGTGTGGTAGGGACAGTGGGAGGCAAAGATGCGGGGGCCACAGGCCTCAGGCCACAAGGTTCAGATGCATCCCTGCCCCAGGCCCTGTCACCTCTGCTCACTCGCCACCCCTGGAGCCCCGCGCCTCCTTCCAGGTCCCATCAGCTGCATCCTCCCCAGCCAGGGTCAGCGACCCCCTTTGTGCCCTTTCACCCCGGAGTACACCCCGCTCTCTGAGCCTCTCACGGATACTCTGCAGACAGGTAAGGGGAGCCTTCATCTCACAGGCCTTGCGCGGGGGTGGGGGCTCCACGGGGCTCCTTTTCCCCAATCAAAAGGTTAGCATGACTGAGTCCCGAGATGCTACAGGTATCCTTGGGCCTGGAGTTTTTCATCTCTGCTTAGTGGGTCTCTGGTCCTCAACCAGGTGGCTCAGCATAGTCTGTCGAGGCCAGCTGTGGTAGCTTATCCCCTCGTGGGACTCAAGTCCCTTTCTCAGGCAGAAACCTCTAATCCCGAAGTGGCTAATGTATCTGTACCACCCAGCCTGGTCCATAGACTGCCTGACCGTTCCCACTGCCTGGCACAGGAGCCTCTTACAACATGGAAGCTCTTGGGAACTTCCTGTCCTTGGGGTACCAAGTTAGGCTGTGGGGCTCAAGAATGAAGAGGTGACCTGGGCCCTTTAAGCTTCCCTGGGCCCTGGAAGACTATCTTTAGGAGCTCAACCTCCAGGCTTCTCCATTTGCCCATAGTGGAGCAGATTCATCCTCCGATGTCTCATAGGTCAGTAGGTCAGAGTCTGGGATGTTCACCTCAACAGCTCCCAGTCCCACCTAGTCCGGAGCCACTAGCTAAGAAAGTGAGAGCCACCCTGGAGTACTGGCAGCCCTGACCCTCCCAGGGCCCAGATGGGAAAGCAGGAGCCTGACTGTGGGTGCTAGACAGGGCCTTTGACTTGGGCTTCTGTGCCATTTCAGGAGGCCATGCACTCCGAGTCCCTGGAAGGGCAGGTTGATGACACTGGGGAAGACGGCATCTCAGACCACACAGAGCCTGCTGAAAATGTTTCCATGAGCCAGGCATCAATGAGTGCTCTGCGGTCCCCTCCATGCTCCCCACGACCTGCCAGTGTCCGTACCCGCAGGCACACTTTTGGGCAGCGCTGTGTCTCCAGCCACCCTCCCACCCTGGGAGGAGAGGATGCAGAAGCAGCAGACCCAGCAGATGAGGAGGTCAGGCACATCACCAGCTCAGCCCACCCCTGGCCGGCCACAGAGCCCCATAGCCCAGAGGCCTCCCCAACAGCCTCTCCGACGAAAGGCACAGTGGGCAGTGGGCGGGACCCACGCAGGTTCTGCAGTGTAGACGCTCAGAGCTTCCTGGACAAACCAGGTCGGCCAGATGCACAGCGGTGGCCCTCGGTGGAACTGGATAATGGAGACAGCCACCTAGAGTCTGGAGAAACGAGGGGCCGGGCCTCAGAGCTCGAGCCGGCTCTTGGGGCACGAAGGAAGAAGAAGATGAGCCCTCCCTGCATCTCCATTGAACCTCCCACTGAGGATGAGGGCTCTACCCGGCCCCCTGCAACTGAAGGAGGCAACACTACCCTGAGGCGCCGCACCCCGTCATGTGAGGCTGCCCTCCACAGGGACTGTCTAGAGTCTACAGAGGGCCCAGGCACTGGAGGGGACCCTGTAGCCAAGGGTGAGCGCTGGGGCCAAGCCTCTTGCCGGGCAGAGCATCTGACTGTCCCCAACTTTGCCTTTGAGCCTCTGGACATGGGCGGACCTGGTGGAGACTCTTTCTTGGACAGTGACCAAAGTGTGACCCCAGAACCCAGAGTTTCCTCTTTGGGGGCTATAGTGCCTCTAATACTAGAAACTGAATTTTGTACACCCTCTGGTGACCCCCCAGAGAAGGAGCAAGGACTGTACCTCACTGTGCCCCAGACCCCCTTGAAGAAACCAGGGTCTCCCCCAGCCACTCCTGCCCCAGATGACAGTGGAGATGAGCCTGTGTAGATTGGGCTGTGTGTCCACAGGGCTTTGGCATTGAGGTTGTTGGCTCCCTGCAGGGTGGTAGCCCCAGTCAGGGCCATGAGTGGACCCTGGCTTAGGCCCCACTAAGGCAGAGGGACCGGGAGATACCATCCCGGGAGAGGCAGCAGACATTCCGTCTCTGCACCATGACACAGGAGCAGCCTCGGGCCCCACGAGCCTCCCTCGTGGTGATTCAGGTTTGGGTTTTCCTGAGTTTTAACCACCACCAGAAGTTGTACCAGGACCAGGTCATCAGTCTCAGGAGAAGAGGCTGTGTCCTGGGAAGGACCAGAAATTCCTCACGGGCAGGAAGACACCACAGCTCCTCCCGTGTGACACACAGGTTTCTGATAGGGAGTACACGCTTGAGCCCCTTGTGCCCTGGTGGGCAGACATTGGGTCCCACAGCCACCACACCCAATATCACCTTCATTCACGGTCTTGTTCCTGTCCACGCTCAGCATCCTTCCCTCTCACAGTACCCCTTCCCCCTTCCATCCTCTTAGACAGTCTAGAAACTTTGCAGTGACCCTGGGAAGGGCCACATCACCAAGGAGTACTGGCCCATGCAATAAGACGTTGCAGTCCCTACTGGGGCTTCCCCTCCATCCCAGGCTGTTGGGCTCAGCATTCATTTGACATCCGTTTGCTTTTATGTCATCCGTTCTACAAATTCAGGTTAAATGTTGCAATAATCCAATGCAGAAAACTTGGCTTCCTAAGTCAAAGCTGAGGGGAGGGGCGAAGCTGAATAAACACTAACTTATTTAAGAAAGACACTTGGGTTGCGACACCTCTGTCAGGGCTCCGAGGCTGGGTTGGGGGGAGAGGCCAGACAGTATTTGGCCACCAGGACTCCAGAGACCAGCAGCAGGAAGAGGCTTGGCAAGAAGAGGCCAGCCAGGAGGGGAGTCCAGGAAAGCCCTTGCGTTCCTGAGCCCCCTGCTTCCGGGATGTGGTGGTGGATCCAGTTGACATAGGCAGTAACCCGAGCATAGACACCAGGGCGGTCAGGGCGGCCACAGCCCTCACCCCAGCTGACAACACCGGCCTGCTGCCAGGTCCCAGCCACCTGGCAGACTAGTGGCCCTCCAGAGTCATCCTGCAGGACAAAAAGGTCAGAACAAGGATGGGATTCTAAGGACCTGGGGGTTCTCACCATATGAGAGGGGTTCATGGTATACCATTCCTCCCATGTTCCCAGCCGGCTTACCTGGCAGGCATCCCCAGGACCCTGGGCACATAGCATGTCTGGCTGAATGAGGCTGCCATTGGGGCTGTTGTAAGCCTGGCTGCAGGTCTCTTCATCCACCACAGAGACTCTGGCCTCCTGAAGGTTGTATGGGGGCTTCAGAGGCTCTGAGAGAAAGGAAGGTTCGGGAGGAAGCTGAGTGAGCAGCCTCACACTGCTGGGAGTGAACACAGGGCAGGCACGTCCCTTGTGATTAACGTGCTTGCTTTGTCGCCACCAGTCTGTGGATCAGACATGGATCTTGGTGGAGGCCAAGATGTGGTTGGCCTTTAGGAGGGATAGGCGTGGCCACTAGGAGCAAGTGGTGGCACCAGTGGCTCTTGCTCCTCCCCAGGTAGCCCCCCTTACCTTCCCTTATCCCCATGGGAGAGGATTTCAGAAGGGACTCCTTACCTCCCTCCCGTGTATAGCCCCAGCCTGTCACCCAGCACTGCATCCCAGGGTAGAAGTCAGCTGAGGTCTCTGGGAGGCACACAGGCTGGACCTGGCTGGAAAGGGCCACCGGGGTGGCCAGCTGCACCAGGGCAATGTCCCCACTGGACCCTGGCGGTCCTGGGGCGCTAGAGTACATGATGATCTTCTTTACAGTGGAGAAGTGGGGAGACAGTGTGATTGTCAGCTCTCCCAGGTGCACCTGGTAATCAGATGAGTTCACAGACCTGGAAGGCAGGGAGAGATGTGGGTGTCCCCCTCCAACACTGCCCACCCTGCCAATGTCCCATCTGTCCTCAGTACTAGGCACAGAAACAGCTACTGTGTACATGAAGCATGAACCTGGCAGTGCCTCACACTTAAGGGCCCAAGGACTGCAGTCTGCGATCCTGCCACCTCTGACTGGAAGGTGGCTGGCACCCTGGGGACAAGAAACCCTCCTAAAATCAGGAAAGGCAGTTCCAGAAATGCACACGACTAACGGAAGGGCTTCGGGCTGGCTAGGTTTAGGATACTTCCTGATACAAGCTAGATGGGTGGCCAGCATCACACTCATGCCCAATGGAAGCTGCATTCTCCTCCCATGGCAGATGTGAGAGAGGGGGGCCCCACCCCCACCGGGGCTGCACACTGCCACTTCAGGTGGGTGGACCTTAATGCAGTTTTCTCTATTGAAAAGGGAACCTTGGACTCAAGGGTGAGTCACAGGCTAAGCAAGGTCCTGTTTGCTGTCCTGTTTGCCCATAAGCCCAGGCAGCGAGGCTTCATGAGGTAACTCACCCAGAAAAGCAATGAGCTGCTGTGAGCACCCATTCTGGACTGAGCAGGGACCCTCCGCACACATGCACCTTCTGCAGACGGAGGCTAGCTTGCCATGGCCATGTGCCAGCTGAGGCGGCATGCCCTCCCACGATTCGACTTCCTACGTGTGAAACCTGGGGCTGGCCACACCCTGATCCAGAGGAGGCATTGTTGGCTAGGGAATCCAGAGACTGGCATTCTGCTCAATGCCCTTTCTCTCGGAGCCCTCCGTGACTCCCATCTTGGGAGCCCTAGCATCTTGGGGAATCTACAAATGTCTCTGCTCCCCATCTGCTGGCCTCTCTCCAGAAGCATTGTGGGTGTATGCCCTCAAACAGTGGTTTTCAACCTTCCTAACACTCATGTTAGGAGTTCCTACAGTTCCTCATGTTGTGGCAACCCCCAACTATAAAATTATTTATGTTGCTACTTCATAACTGTAACTTTGCTATTAAGAATCATAATATAAATATCTGATATGCAAATGATGTTAGGGGACCCTTGTCAAAGGGTCATGACCCACAGGTTGCCCTAGAAACAGTAAGTTCCTGGGTCTTGGCATCTGAACACTGTCCCAAAGGACACAGCAGGCTCCTTAGAAAGATAGCTCAGTGGAGCTGGGCAAGCGACCTACTGCCTGAAATTAAAGGCATGAGGAAGGCTGAGGTGATGGGAGCTATGAAGGCCCAGGAGGCTGGGGGTGGAGGGATGCCCTCCCAGTGAGAATGGGGTTTCTTTTTTGGAAGGATGTTTGGAACTAGATAGATGTGATATCACAAAACACTGGAGATGTGTTAAATGTCACCAAATGGTACACTGTATTGTGGGAAAATTTGATGTAAATTTCACCTCAACTTATTTTCTCATGAAAATCTAGAGATCACCCACAGGGGACGGGGCTTCCCTCTTAATCTGTACAGCAGAATAAAGCCAGAAATTAGGTCCACACTGATAAAAAGAAATGGAAAAGATCACATATCCCTCCCACCCAGAGCACCAGGTAAGTCCCGAGGAAGTCTAATAAGATGCCTGAGTTTTTCTTCTCAAGACCAACATCAGCAGAAGAAAGGATGAACAATGAGGACCAGCAGGCTGCACAGGAGAGTGAAGGTAACTCTCGAAGATACCAATGGGGCAGAGGTGCAGCTTCCCAGTGAAGCCGGCCTGTGCCCCCATCAGCCACGATAGCAGAGATGCCTGTGGCATGGCCTCCCTGGGCCAGGTCACTCTCTGCCACCATAGGCACTGTCCCCTAGGGTCTGCCTGCCAGGACTAGTCTCTAATCCTGAAATGTCTGTTGGAGACCTACCTGACTGTAGAGTTTCATGGGAGATACCTGAAGGATGGAGACAGAAGGATTAGGGGAGCTGTCCATGGGATTGACTCTGGTCCTGTGGGCCTGTGCACTGCCTCTCTGCAAGGTCCCAAGGTGGCCCTAAGGAAGGTCTTCCCATCCTGAGCAGCTAAAGCTAGGATCTAGCCAGGTAGGTGGGGCCCAGCTGGATGGGTTGTGGCCTGGCCAGCTGCCATCCCCATCCTAGGGTAGGGTGGGACTAGCCATAAACAACAGCTGGGAGACAGTGAGTGCTGGATCAGTCTCAGCCCCTCACAACCTCTAGGTCCTCCTTGAGGTGGTTCCTACCAGGATCTGGTCCTGTAGGTGTCCCCACACATACACTCAAGCCTCTGTCTCCAGCAATGATGGCCAAGACACCCAGCTGAGGAGCCCAGATAAAGCAGAGAACTTGGCTTTTGCTCACCTAAGCCCAAACTTCAAGGTACCCAGATCCATCTTACCTGGTTCCCAGAATTCTCAGAGCTCCAGACCAGAGTGGAGAATAAGGTAAATGCAGGGGAATGTCCAGAGAGGAAGCAGGCCCACTCCCACCCCAAGGGAGGATATAAATACAGTGTCACACCGACCCCGAGCCAGTTCACTCACCAGGAACAGTCAGAAGCAGTAGGAAGCCACAGTAGTGGCCCAGAGCCATGGTGTCTTCCCAAAGCAGAGGCAGGACCACCCTGTCCCCCTGCCCAGCCCTGGGCCTGCCAGTATGGGGTTGGGTAGGGTTGGCCTCACACCTGCTGCAGGGCAGGAGGGAGGAGGATACAGGCTCCTCACCTGATCCTGTTACACACCACAGGGAGGGGCTGTCAACTTCATTTGTCTCACATGAAGGCTACACCCAGCCTTGGCAGCAAGGGACAAGTTTGGTGACACAGAATATAGCAGGGACAGAGTGGGAACCAGCTGTCTACACCACAACCCGAGCTTCTCTTCTCCAAGTATAGAGAGGAGGCACCACAGCCTCGGTTCCTACAGCGTATGCATCTCCCAGTCTCCAGATTCTCAGCCTCCAAGGCTCCGTAGAGAGACCAGCCCTCTTTGAGGACATACGGTCCTCTGTGTCCCTGTTCTCATATCTAGCCCTAGGTCTCCTAACTCCACCTCAGATACAGACAGATCTGGCTGCCTGCATACCGATCTGCTGGCCATGGATGTGGCCAGAGCCAGGAACTTTTCTCAGCTCCAAATCGCAGACCCAGGATTGAAGGGTCCCACTGACACTTTTGAGGTCAGGAATCCCCTCTTAGATGCAGGGAAACCGTCGGTAGAGAGTTGCTCACTGCTTCTTCAGGATATGATAACACAGGGTAATTTTTGCCTTCTTCCTGATCACCTGCCCCCAGCACAAGGGTACATGTAAAATGTTTGACTTAGTGACAAATACACTATCAACCCACCCTGTGTGACTGGCCTCCCTTAGATAGCTGTACACCTGAGAGGAGACGGTTGGGAACATGGGATCTGCCTGGCAATTCACCTCAACATATGGCAGGCAGTGGAGGGAAGGGGTCCATGTGTTCTTACATGTCATCCCAACCAACCCAAGAGCCTAATGTCACTGGGGTTTTCATGGAATCAGACACCCCCTATCCTGAGCCTTGACTTTCTGAACTCTCTCTGGGTCCCCATAGAAGAGAACTTCAGGACCTTATCTGTTCCACATCTTTTTACTTTTGGTATTAGCAGACCCAACTGCATACACACACTCATGCGTGCACACAGACACACACAGTCACACACACACAGACACACACACGCACGCACGCACGCATGTGTGGGCACACCTACATATACCCTGTTACCTGGCTCCCTGCAGAGCCCTCAACACTCTCATGCCAGGTTGGCTACCCAAACTAAAACTGCATCCATGCGTGGCAGGAGTGGATTCTCATTTACACCTGACAGAAAAGCAAGGACAGGGCATCCTGGCCCTGGAGATATCACACACACACACACACACACACACACACACACACACACACACACACACACAC